AGTTTCAATTCTTAAGTTTTTGGCGCGGACCATGCTTACATGTCGGATATGTCATAATTATGAATTTAACCAATTTGATCCAACTTACAAGGACCAACAATAATTTTGCACAGCCCTACTATCTGTCTGTCTATCTATATTCAATTAAACAATGTGTTACTCTTATTTTATTTTGTGTCAAAAGCATTGCATAAATAAATTAATATAAAACTGATAAAACAGAGGGAACACAAGGAGCTAAATAATTTTAGACCAAAAACAGGCAACCCTAAAAAATTGCTCTACAACATTTTACACTAAATGTCTGTGACATCAGAGCCTCAACACTGAGAATGGTAGTAATTATAAGTAATGTTTATTGCATTTAATTTCAAATAATGTTATTTAGGACTCTGATATTAAGAGGTTTTTGAGAAGGATACAGATTTTTTTTGCAAGACCCATGACTTGACTTCCAGATATACAGGCAGACAGTTATTCCATTTGATCTAAGTGCAGTTAACCAGCTGAGGGGTGTGTGAATTGAACAACCATACAGGCAGAGTTATTTCACGGGATTTTCTCTAACCAGTAATGTTGGGCAGATTAGAACATTTCCTTATATTATTGGGTCCTCCACCACGTTTTCTTAATTCTCTCAGTGGAGATGTGAGGCGACATGAAGAAAAAACAGCTCCCGTATCTTGTTTGTCGGCCTGTCTACTCTGTCCCCATTGAGTGCAGGACCTACTTTGAAGTGAATTATATAAAATTAAGCCGTATTGGTAGATTTTCATTCCTTCTTATGGGGTGTTTAAATCTAACTACCACTTTGGCAGCAAAACCTCTGTTAATACGGCTAAAAATGTACATATCAAGCATGCCATGTTTTTTTCAGGTGGCCCAAATAAGTCATAGTATACATATAAAAGTAAAAAAAAATTGAAAATGAACATGTACCTCACTTGGAAATCAGGGAGCTCCTTTCAACCTATCCTTGTCAGGTTGCTTTGTAGATTTTTGCTAATATTATGCTTCTTATCTCCACATTAATGCCGGCTAGGATTTGGTGGAGTTTAAGTAGACTAATATTAAATCAGGTTTTGAGCTGGCTGTCTTGTTAATGGCTCATCAAGCGTTTAGTATTTGTAATCAGGTTTTTGTTCCTTAGCCACAGGTTTCTCAACAGTTCTATCATGAAAACTCATTTTAAATGGATTGGTAGTGGCCAAATCATTAGATTTGTTTGAATGTATTTTCTTATCATCATCATCATCCTGGGAACATTCAAAATGTTCAAAACAAATGGCATTGCAGTAAACCTGGCAGTTAAATGAGTCATAACTGAGGTTCTGGGTGTGTGTGTGTGTGTGTGTGTGTGTCCTCATATATGGTGGCAAATGTGTGGTTTCTCTTCCCGCACTCTTCTCTTTCTTGCACGTAAATGCTGTATTTGAAAGTAATGAATTTTGATACAATGTTGAGCCGGTTGTTTTTGCGAATTGTACTACTTTTCCCATCAGTCTCATATTATCTCTTCCCTTGCAACCTAGCACTCCTTGGCAGTAGCCACAAGGGAGGAAGATTAGAGCTGAATGGAAGGATTTGATTTCATTCGTTACCAATTTCGTGACAGATAATACCTTGCTAGAAAATTATGGTGTCATGCAGATTTAGTTCTTACTTGTTTCTGAGTAATTTAATTGAAGTAATTCACAGGGACCGAATTGTTTTAGATGGCATGGACTTTTTCTTGCAGCTACTTTTTTTCTTTTGTTTGGATTTTCAAAAAACACTACCTTTAGTTTAACCTGAAGACTTTTCACCTGAGGTTCACCTGAATTTTTAGTAATGCAGCTGTTTGTTTGTGTGAAAGCCTTGGTTTTTAAAACTTCTTTTAGAGGTGCATCTACACTGTAGAATGAATGTAGTTTGACACCACTTTAACTGCCATGGCTCAAGGTTGTGGAATCCTGGGAGTTGTAGTTTAGTGATTGTAGTTTAGTGATATTAGGTGATAAATAACTTGCGAGATTAGTCATTTTGTGTAAAGCTATTGTAACAAATAACATAATTTACCCAATATAGGTCTAGTTTGATGACAGTTAAAAGTATGGTGTATTTAGCTCATGATTTAAGGATATTTGGTTAAAAATATTTTCATATTAATCATGTGAGTAATTCATGTCAATTCACCTGTGCCAGAGCATTCCCATTTATATTGGTATTTGTTAATTTATTTATATATCACAACTTAAAGGCACTGTTTTGTTGTGACTCCCTTCATAGAGGAGCAAATCCAGAAGATGGTATTTGTTTGGGAATCACGTTCAATTCCTTAGCTGCAATTCTGTGAAGCCCCTTAGCCCTCTGTTTTGTCCACCATGCTATTCAACATCAACATGAGACCACTGGGAAAATGGTCTGGAGATTTTGTTGCCGCCAATATATTGAAGACACTCAACTTGATTTCTCCTTTCTGCCACACTTTTCAGGAAGCTGTTCTAGTGTCTGGGATCTGTAATGGATTGGATTAGACCAAAGGAAACATAAATCCAGACAAGTCAGAGGAAAGTTGATCACAATGTAGGGATTAAACCTATCTTTGATGGAGTTGCACTCCTTCTGAAAATGCAGGTTGATAGTTTGGATGTACTTGTGGACTTCAGCCATGAAATGGGCAAAAGCATTCCTGTAGCAGCCAGAAGTACTTTTGCCCATTTGAACCTAGCTGCACCTATTCCAGAGACACCTCATTAGACCAAGTATATTTGGAAATTTCAGCTAGTACAAAGAGTTGCAGCCACTGTGTTAATTGGGGCTGGTCCAATGGACCATACTGCCATACTGCTGCCCTGTTTTAACAGCTCCACTGACTACCAGTCTGTTTCTGGGCATATCTCAAGGTGCTGTTTATGACCTTGAAATCATCATACAATTTATATCCGGGTTATTTGATACATTTCCATATATGAGCCTGCCAGTGCCTGGGCCCTCACATCCTATAAGAGGTCTAACTCATATCGTCCACTTCCATGGATCTTGCTGATGGAGGCCCAAGATGGTGGCTGCCTTAGGCTCTGGTAATCCTTTCCTCATTCCCATCCTTCGCTTAACAGGAAATGACTAATTTGTTCCAACAAGCTTTTGGGAATTGAAGCTGTTTAAAGAAAGGGCTTTAAATATATTTTGTGCTCTTTTTATTTTATTTTATTTGGAATTGCCTTTATCAATTTGAATTGTATGATTTAGAATGTTTTGAGCGTTTTCAATAGTTTAATTCCATGTTAATATTTTTTAAAGTGTTTTAACTGTATTATATGAATTCTAGTTTGTAAGCTCGTTTGAGTGCCTGTCTTGGGGAAAGATAGGTAGAAATGATGTTGTTGATGAGTAGAAGACAGTTTGTGTCAGGCATCATGCCATCTTTTTCTTTAACTCGTAGCCATTGTTGCTCCTCCTAAAATTTCTCAAAAGGTTGAAAGGATTTACAGGTTCTCGGAAATAGTGTAGGATATGGCATAGAAGATTGCTATAACAAAAATATGTGGTCAAGGATATGTTGTATGAATGGAGTTCTCTGTCACTTGATTTATTTAAATAATAATTTAAAAAATTACTTATACCCTTCTTTTCTCCCAGAGGGGACACAAAGTGGCTAAAAACTGCACACTTTAATCAATTTAAAACAAGGCAAATACAAAAACAAAAAAAAAACAATTAAATAGTACTGTGTTTCTGGTTAAAAATACAGTTAAAACATAATAAATGCAATTAAAATGCATTTCACATTCTGATTTTGCCACTTAGGCTTATAAGTCTGGGTAGATCACATGCTTTGCATGCAGAAGGTCCCACGTTCAATCTATAGCCCTTCCAGTTTAGGGATTTGGACAATAACAGCTTCTCTCTACATGAGATCTTCCCTCTGCATGAGGTCTTGGAGTAGGCAGTACTGATTTAGATGGGTAACTCCATATCAGGGTACATCTGCACTGTAGAATTAATGCAATTTGACATCATTTTAGCTGCCATGGCTCAATGCAATGGAGTCATGGCAGTTGTTTGCTGAGACACCAGCACTATCTAGCAAAGGCCTGTCAAAACACAATTCCCTTTTTTTCTGTGTCAGGAGCTACTTGAGAAACTGTAAGTCGCTTCTGGTGTGAGAGAATTGGCTGTCTGCAGGGACGTTGCTCAGGGGATGCCCGGATGTTTTGATGTTTTGCCATCCTTTGTGGGAGTCTTCTCTCATGTCCTTGCATGGGGAGTTGGAGCTGACAGAAGGAGCTCATCCTCGCTCTCCTCAGATTCGAACCTGCGACCTGTCAGTCTTCAGTTCTGCTGGCACAAAGGTTTAACCCATTGTGCCACCAAGGGCTCCACAATTCCCATGATTCCATAGCATAGAGCTATGGCCATTCAAGTAGTGTCAAACTGCATTAATTCTACAGTGTAGATGCACCCTAAGGCAGTTTAGTGGACTAGATGTAACTGTTACTAACAACTAATATAGACTATTGAATCAAGTGGGAGATCTATACTTTCACTCTACCCATTGATTTAGTGAGTCTACTCTAGTTGAGACTAAGATTTTCAGGCCAAAACGTATATCTAATTATGTGTTTTGAATCGTTGGTTATCACATCATATATATTTCAGTTAATAGTTTGGTAATTACTTATTGACTGTATGGGAATGGTCAGATAATTCAAATATAACAACCTGTAAAAATCACAGGAATCAACTGTTTAGTTAGTGTGTTAGAAACAAGCACTTGTTAAAGAAAAAAAAAGTGGAGGGGAGAAATTGAGTAAGTGCAAGGTACTAGAACTGTTTATGCAGGGCAGAAGCCAAAATGTCTTCATTTTTTTATCTGTATGCCAGGCAGTCATCTTGTTTTCAGAGTTCAGTGTTGTATCAACTACATTAAAGTCCACAGCTGTAGAATGATTGCTTTGTTGTGTGCCATCTTGCCTTGATTTTTATGATATTAAAATTACCCTTCCACATGTTTGTAGGAAAACGGTTTGACAGATGACATTGGAATATCAATTTGGAAAGAACACGTTTTCCTATCCCATAGTTCTTTGCTGGCAAAGAGCTGCCAAGCTGCCATGGAACTGGCAAAACACGACGTGGAGACTCAGAATAAGGCCTTTAATTATGGGAAGCACATGTCTATGAGTCGTAAGGTATGCTTTTTCCAAAAGTTGTTTTAGCTTCATGCATTTCTTTCTATTTTACCTGTATAGATCACACATGAAGTTAAAAACCATAGTACTGATGTGCAGCTGTTGGGATTCTGAAAGGCATATTCCATGTTAAAAGATAGGTATATCTGTAGTGTTCATTTGGTATTACTCTTGCAATTCTAATTGCTTTAAAATTATCAACACGGTTATTGTAAGTGCATACTTATGTTTATTTTGGCATGCAATATCTTTTTCTTATATCAAAGGTCATGCAATTGATTGAGAAGCAACCATGTTCTCTTGAATGCTATATTTCTCATTCCCAAAGGAAAGAAGAAGATGTTACGTACAAGCCATATTAGAAGGCTTTCATATGTATTGCACAGGGCGTACATGTCCAGGGAAGCAAAGATCACCCTTCTTTGGGTGGAGGAGGGGCATATCAACTGAGAAACACTGACATGAGACAACATTACAAAGTATAACCCATTGGATGTAGTGAGATTTACTTTGGACTCCATGATTAGATTACTATGTTTTCCATTTATAATAGCCAAATTATACATGCCAGGGCCCAACAGTTTTGTCACAGTTCAGTATGACTGAAAGAAAGAAGTGAGGATGGCTGCTAATTGAAGCAGGTTGGGTCACAAGGACAGACAGGAAGTGTAAACCTCTTTGAATCATACCTCAAGTGACTTTTTCTCCATGTGAAGCATTGTGATTCACTTCAGAGTAATGGCTTTGAAGACACTGTAATAAGAGCAAAATCTGTCCTCCGCAATGGGTCATCTCTTAATTCACCAAAAGGATAGCACAGGAAGCAGTCTTTGGGCTTAAACATTTTTGTTTCTCCTCAGATGATATGCATTCAATGAAACAATTGCATCTATCTATATATATAGATTCACATTTCAAGAATTAATTAAATTGGTCTGCTCTAGCTGTGAATATCCAATATGATTCAGCCATTTGTATAGCGGTGTATAAATGCAGGCTTGCTCTTTTAACCAGACACTCATAGTCTTGCCAATCTATCTCCGAATATAGATAGTAAAAGGTTTGCTAATTACAGCTAAAATTCTTCTGATATGAAATGGGTTTGATCCCGATGAAACAGTCAGGAACAGCTTAATCCTGAGTGGTGTTTTTTTGGTTGGATTTTCTTTGTGTGACTACTTCACATCTCTTAAAATGTATTCATCTCATTATTGATGAAATTAATTTTACTATAAAGAGTGGTTTTTATTGAATGCAATGTTTTGATCCATTATCTTTCAGCTAAATGTCGACATTCAGCCATTTCTTAGTGAAAGCTCTAATGACTCTCTGGCCTTCAATTTAAATTCTGCTCCTGTTATCTTGCATCAGGAATTAATTGGAAGAGAAACCTGGATTAAGCAAGTTAAAGAGGTAAGCAAAAACCCATCCACAGAAATGAATTGACTGCTGTGTACATAACACTAACAAACTGTAAACTGGCTTGTTGCAAACAGCCATAATTAACATTAACCACAATTTGTTGCTTCAAGGCTCTTCACAATCAGCCTAAAAGCTAAATACAAAGTGCTGTTCATTACCTTTAAAGCCCTGAACAGCTCGGGTCCAGACTATTTAATCAATCGCATCTCCTCTTACAAATCAGCCCGGGCACTGCGGTCATCGGAGGAGGCCCTACTCTCAGTCCCACCCCCATCTAAAGTACGGCTGGTGGGAACAAGAGAAAGGACCCTCTCCGTGGTCGCTCTCCCACCTTTGGAACTCCCTCCCTAAAGAAATAAAGCTGGCCCCTCCCTCCCTTCCTTCAAAATACAACTGAAGACTTATTTTTGCTCACTAGCATATGGAGAGGAGGAGGATTAGATGGTTGAGAGATCCCTGCCAGGCTTCTGGTTGAGAACTATTTGTATTTGGCCTTTCCTGGTCCATGCCAGCCCCATGGCCTCATTTGACTACATAACCAATTCACACTGTTTTGTGAACCCTAGCTGGCTGTTGTAAATAATGTGGATGTTTTGTTTAAAGTTTATGTTATTATATAATTTTGTCTGACTACATGTAGTTTAATTTACTGATGTTAGGCTTTAATTTGATGTTAAGTTTTAATGTTATTTTCATATGTGGGGTTTTTCTGGGAATTCATTTCAGTGTATGTTTGTTTTATGTAAGCATTGAATGTTTGCAATTGTATGTTGGAGTCAGCTCTGGGGAGATAGGGCGGAATACAAATAAATAAATAAATAAATAATGGAAGAACACAAACACATTAACTTTCCAGTTCCATTAAACTCTCATACAGTATGGATCTGAGTATTCACTATTAGAAAAGAGTATTATTGTTATAATTATTCATTTTTCTCACCAACATACGGTGCCAAATTTAATAATAAAGTATTTATTTATTTATTTATTTATTTCATACATTTCTAGATTAAATAAATAAAAATTAGAACATGTGACTTCTCTATTGTTTTTTGAAATTTAGGACAATTTTATTAAGTTCTTGTCAGAACTCATGACAATAGATTTTACTGAATTTTATGAAACTAGGTGATTAAATTTTATTTAAAATAAGTAAGTGTTCTGTTCCACTACTCAAATAAAACAATGGTTGTAGTTTTCCAACAGCTAAGTGCTTTCTAAACACAGGGTAGGAAAAAACACAGAGGAGAAGATGCTCATGCATTTATGATGCATGAAATACAACTTTGATATCCCCCCTTGATTTATATGATTGTTACATCTTCCAAAAATGTTCTTTTAATACACTTGCTTATATTTTAATGAACATAATCTTTATGTAAAGGGGATGTTTTAACTTTGAGCAACACTCTTACAATTTGTCCTTTGGGAGGTTTTGGAAAAGATTGAAAGCTTGTGCTCCATGATTGGTATTGATGATTAGCACATTGGATTGTTTTTCAGAGTTGTCTTAGCATCTTCCTCCCTCCTTTTGAAAAGACAGAGGTAGAGTCCCACTGTTCACAGGCATTGTACAATTTATGGAGGACAAGGCTAGCATGAGCAGAAGACAGTGCTCGTGCATTCATCCTCATTCTCCCTCATGCAGTCCTAAAGTAAACATATTTAAACTGTCCATAGATTTATCACAGTCACTTTCTTGTAGGCATAGGAGAGAATCAAACACATATAATGGTACTTAAACCATCTTACTTGTATTCCATTTTCTAAAGGAGGCTGTCAGCAACAGTGCTAAGCTCCTGACAGGCAATGTGGAGCTTTGTTTCGATCTTTTCTGGTGTTTGGTTTGGAAGGTAATCCCCCCCCCCCCTCAAAAAAAAGATTCTCATACAAGTGCAGATTCTTCATACTTAGCTAGTGAAAATATGTTTAACTTTTGTTCTTTTGTTATTAAAGGCTCGAACTAAAGGGAACTTAATAGACTACGGTAAGGTAAGTGAATATCATATTGATTTGGATTTGGTTTTATATTTTGATATATACACTGGTAGACAGACTAGATGGCATAGTAATTTCTTAAGGAACTTGCCGGGTGGGCCAGGTAAGGAACTCCCCCTTTATTCCTGCACAAATACACACTTTGCTCCAGATCCACCTTCTCTCTCTCTCCCTCTCTCCCTCCCTCTCTCTCTCTCTCCTTTTTCTTCTCTCTCTCTCCTCTTTTTCCTCCTCCTCCTCCCTCTTCTATCTCTGACAACCTTGCAGCAACCTATACTTCTGGCCTTTTTCTCCTCCTTCTCTTCTAACCCAAGCAAGGATAATTAGAGGCATAGGATGCTAGAAATGCAAGAGACCCCCTCCCTTAAGAGGCTATCCAGTCTAGCCCCATTCTGCTTGGCTGAAAGGCACAAACTAAGCCCTTCCAACACATAGATTCTGGAGACATTTGACCAATAATAGTGTTTAGCCAACTGTGGTTTTCCAGTGTTGCTATTCCTCTATGCTCAATATGGGATTCTAGAGATGGTTAATCTACAATATATCAGTGTGTTCCCAACTCTGGTCTTGCAGGTGTTTTGGATTCAAACATGATGTTTTGGTGCTTAATTTGTAAAACCATAATTTGACGTTTAATAGGCTTTTCCTTAATCCAGCAATTTTGCTTATCCAACATTCTGCCGGCCCATTTATGTTGGATAAGTGAGACACTACTGTAATAGTAGTAGTAGTAGTAGTAGTAGTAGTAGTAGTAGTATCAAGGAGGTTTTCCAATAACCTTGGATGTTCCAGTGCAATCAGGAGAGTCCACCATTCCAGGAAGCGTGAGAAGGTTTTCTAGTGCCTTATGATGTAAACCATTTCTGCACTGAGAGGTATTTGAAACTTTAGTTAGTAGGCTTCCTCCATGCAATCAGTGCTCTTTGTAAGTGTTCAGCCATTATGCATGAAGAGACTGTTGCTGTGTGAACAGACAACTCAAGTGTGGTATTCAAGCAAACCTATTATGAGCCGGGCTTCGACATCAATACATTTATAGACTCTGTTTTTATGTTCTTGGAAAGGGATGGATTCATTATTGTAAGCCCTCCAAAGACAAATTATGATGCCATATGAATCTGCAGCACAAGCAATACTCTCATGTAGTTAACACATTGTACATTGCAATGAGAAAGCTGCTCTTCAGGAAGATTACTTCCTTAAACTATAGCATGAATGCCTTTAGTACATGTTTTTATGCTGCAGAAGTATTTCATGAATAGGTTATTAACAGTGAAAATAACCGTTGTATATGACACCTTCAAACTTGTTGTGTTAGTTTAACTGCTTTTTAAATACACCATCATATATGTGAATTCCAGAAGTAGAGTGACATTGACTTATTGTGTTACTGAGATTGTGTTACTGAAGAACTCATCATATGATCTAATTTTATCTTTGGTCCAGATCATTTTCGTATCACTGCTCAAACATTTGAAAATATCCTTCAGTCCTTACTGCTAGGCACAAATAAAATATGTTTACTGTTTCATTGCTATATCTTGAGAATGTGATCACATCACAAAAATAATCCTTTATAGATCATATGTATAGTTCGAAGCTGGGGTGGAACTTCTTTAATATTGCCAGGTTTTATTGATGCTTCTCTAGAGCTTGCTCTAACTGAAGAGAGAGCAAGAGGAAAAAATTATAATTAGGGAGTGCAGGTTTAGTGCCATGATATGATAAAGATTATAAGACTTGAATTGATCCTGCAGTTCAATTCCAATTTGATATAGATTAATATGTTATGATGTTAAGTTACTGTATACTATACGTACACACATTTTAAATTTGCAAGTGAATGTTCTATTTTATGCCCCCCCCCCCCCCGCCATTCCCAAAGCATTTTGGTAGCATGTGTTTTACTGTCATAGGTCCCCGTTGCCTGAAAAGTTCATTGCATCTTGTAATATCCTTTCTGCGTAGTCACCCCCCCCCCCCCAAAAAAAAGGTAACATTTTAGAATTTGCAATTAGAAGCCATTTACTCGCAAGCAATTAATCAGTATCTAAATACTCCTGTCTTATACTGGAAGTATGGTGACCACATGCAGACAGATTATTGATCCATCATCATGCTGTTTGATGGCCTGTTCCAAAGACTAAAGAAGGGAAGGGAAGGGGTATGGGGATAAGGATTATGGCATAAATCTTTGAGGGCGTGTATGTCATCCAGCTCAGAAGCTTGTCTCCTTACATAATCCTTTCTTCTGATCAGATCAGGGAAAGAGCAAAGCTGATTTTTGTTATAGTGCATTATAGTGTTATCATGCAAAGAATTCTAGTAAGTGTAATGTAACAAATACAGCTGGATTTGGATTCACAGAATTCCCTAATTTGGAAGAGCTCTATTCCAAAGGAAACTCAGACATTGCATCGTTATGTGCAATGTGTTACAAGGCTTAACAAGTAGCAGTTCGGCTCTACCATAAATATCAACATGCACTTTGCTATCCATCTGATCATATCTGCCCTTCTCACGTTTGAAATGTAATGCTGTAGTTAGTACATTCCTCATACCACATTGCTGTTGGCAAGTGGACACTTCTCCCAAACCCTAACAACATAGGCAGGAATCCTAACAACAAAAACAACCAACAGCAGCATCATTGGCCTAGGAAAATATGTAGTCAGTGATGTCTCCCACTATTGCATTAAGTCAGGCAAAGGCAGAAGGAATAGTCATTCACAAATGTCAAAGTCCAGATTCAAGCTAGCTTGTAATTTTTTAGGGTTGGGGAAAGTTATAATCTTTGTATTATCATAAAGAGGTCAGTTGATAAATAGATAAGTGTTTACAGTATCTTTCCAGTTCTGTGCTTTGCCAGGAAGAGCTGTGTTATACAGTAGCCAAAGAGCTGTGTAAAGTGAAGCATTTAAAATAAAGAGTTGTCCAGCTGCCATTTTAAAGAGAGGAAGAGACTAGCGTGCAGTCACTGATCAAATTTATAGCAACTAATGCTGACACCTTCAGTAACAGGGAAGTGTAAATGTATTAGCTATGAAGTGCATTGGCCCTATTTCAAGGTAACATTTTGATAGTTTAAATATCAGCACTTAGTGAGGCAGAATGTTCCCCACAAGAGAAAACAAATTTAGAAAAGCCAACACATAACATGGCAAACACTTAATGCATTAGTTAGTTCCTTGACCACAAATCAATGTTGTGTTTGCTTTTTGCTTTTGCTTTTTTAAAGCAAGTTATGAGGGTAGCTGTGGGTTAGCTTCTACGAGAAAGGCACCTGATTTTATGAGAACCAGAACAGAGCATTTTAAAAATTGTTAGAATGCTTTTAGTAAGAATGAGAATTCTGATAACAACAGGGAAATTATTTTTGTTATGAATAAGCTATGAAGCTTTTTACTTGGGTGATAGTTTAAAAATCATATGTTTTACTCTAAAAATAGGTTTGGCATGATTAGGTCAAAAACCAGAGTGATGGATAATTGTATTTGAGAGATTATAGCTGTATATGTTTATTTTCCTGAGTTTGGTAAAGGGCTGAAATGGAAGTTTCAGACCTTGAAATGTCATGATACACATGATACAACCAAAATTGTTCTCTGTGGCATTTTTTTCTGTTATTGCTCATGTGCTGAAACTTAACAAGTGTTCGAATCATCCTGCTTAGGCAGTCATAGTTGTTGGAAAGCTGTCATTGTTCATAATTTTGATTCTGGGTTGTTTTTTTATTCTGTTTTAGCCTAGTTGATTTTAAAGTTTGTCTTATTTTATTTATGCCAGTATATGGTGGCAGCCTTAGGTTATTTAAAACGAAATTGAGTGTATGTAAATAGGTAAAAGTTTGGTGTATATTCATTCAAGCACATTTTGACAGAGAAGTTACAGAAGACTGGGATGCTGAAATTTGTAGCTCACTGTTTGTGCTGAATGTGATCCTCTGAAAGTGTTTAATGAGTGATGGATATTTATCACCTCTTTAAAAGTGATATTTCTAATCCACTTCTTATTAACACCAGATGACATATAATGTTCTCATATGTTTAACAAAATAGCAGTTTATTGCAAAATTTGAGTACTTGCTAATTGCAAAAATGTAGAAAACATTTGTGGTATCAAATTGGCTGTTTCTTACCTGCTTCCATATATCTTAAGTTAGTGTGCCTAGATTTAAACACTTTGAAAGAAATGCTTAATTAATCTTGCAACATGCTTATCATAAAACATATTTTCCCCCAAAGTGTAGTGCTAAGTAGTGTGAGAAATTAAATGTTTTATGAATTGGGACATGAGCACTTAAGTACTATGCCATGCTAGGAATTGAGTTCATCTTCAAATATACATAATTAATTCATTTAAGTTACATGTTTAGATAAGAAAAAGCATTTATTATACATAACCACTACTACTGATTTAAAATAGATGGCTCTTTCAAACGAGTGTAGTTTCTCAAGTTCTTTTCAGATAGACATATTATCCTACTGAAGTGTATTATCATATATACTCATGTGTCAGTCAACATCATGTATAAACCAAGCACAGGTTTTGGGGCCAAAATTGTGGATATTTATATGACCCATGGATTAGTCGAGTGTCATTCTGCAAAGAGGGGGAAGCACCAGTGTTGTCTCGGGACCAGTTGCCCTGGCTGCAGTCACTGCCTTTTCTCCATCCGGGCATTGAAAAGGGTCAGAAGCGTCACCATGGCAAAGAGATTAGACTGGGCTGGTGCTTTTTTGAGGTTCTCCCATTATGGACTAAGTTCTTGCTTTTCACTACTCTACTCAAAGAAGGAGCGGCCACATTTGTTAAGAAAGGTGCAACCCATGTCTCCATGATTTTTTTTACAATTGTTGGTGCACCACAAGTCTCCAAACTTCCCTGCCTCCTCTACCCTTTTCCCTGGGCCATTTTTAATCCAAATGAAACCTTCAAAGATTCACAAGAAAATGGTTAAAAATGAAAACAGAAATGACACCATTTCAAGAGGAGCACTGTGGCTCGCAGGGATTGTAGTGGCATATTTCTTCACTCCTGTTCTAGTGTGGTCAAAAATCTGGAAACAGTTGCACAGTATTTTGTAATCTTTGAGTTGGTCTAATAAAGGAATTATGCTAAAATGGATTTAACAAATTTTCTAAGATACCAAGTTGGCAAAATATTTATTTTTCTTGTCCTCAATCTTGATTCCTTCACTATGGTTTAAAGTTACAGCAAGTTAAGTAAAGGGAAGGATCCCAGATATGGTTAGCCAGGAATATTTTACTTCTCTTCACTCCCAGTTATGATTTCAAGTTAACTGATATGTAATCAGATTTGGAAGCGTTATCAATATGCAGACATTCTCTTCTGCTTGGCCTATACATTAAATATATAGTAAACAGATGGGTTGGTTGATGCTTTGAGATCCACAGTTGCAAAGGACCACACTTATGTGTTGGAGTAGCTAGACTAATGGGTTTTGATGGGGTGAGAGAGGTTTAAATCTCCACTGAGCGATAAATGTCACAGAATAAATTTGGGGCATTCATTATCACGCAACCTGTATCTCTGCATTGCTGTAAGGGGCAAGTAGGCCATGTCCTCTTTGAAAGAAAGGTAAGATATAAAATGTGTGGCATAATGTAAAATAAACCATGTGTAGTTCATGTTTGATCAGCCTACACACTGCCTTGCCAGAGAAAGAAAATATGCCATGCAGGTGAAGAGTAAAGAACAAGTAGTTTACTCTTCTTAGCTCAGAACAACATATGTGCAATGTGATCAGTTGCACCAACTCACATAATGTCATTTTATGAGAGGTTTTAAATAGTCTTGCTTTGTCCATTTGGATAAACTCCTTCAGCAGCTATTGAAGCGAGAGCACAGTCCAAACCCTGTCTCTCTTCTTCTCTCTTCTTCTCTCCACCTGCACGGCTCAAGCCTGTACAAAAATGTAACAGTAACCAAAAGTCCCAGGCTCAGCCATCTCCTCAGGAATTGCCTGACCAATCAGCTTCATGCATCTTATTTTACAGTTTACACACACACACTCACTGATTCCTTGCATGATCCAACAAAATGGATATAGGAAACAGCTTGTTACTTGTTTGCAAAAGGGGGAGTACACTTCTCTGTTGTACGGGCACAATACAGGGCAAGTAAGCTTCTTTAAAGTTCATTTATTTCAACTAAATATGTTGGCATTTCCTGGAGGCACCAGTAGTAGTTTTGCTGTTTCCTGTTGATTCAGTTGGAAATCTATCCCTAATTAGATTAAAATATCTGAGTAGGAAGATGTTCATAGATGCTGTGAATAACGTGCTATCATTCATGACCATTGGCCACTCTGGCTGGGGCAGATGGGAGTTCTCCTCCAGAACATTTAGAGAGCACAAGTTTGCTTACCCTTCTGGCTTATAATAAATCCAGAAATAAATTATTGTTCATTTATTATTCCTGGTTTTGCCATTGTTTCTTTATTCTTTGGAACTGTATAGTCGTTGACGGCATGCAACAACTTTGGTGAGCATAGTCTAAAAATGCTGCCGCAAAGTGCCTGTTCCTCTACATTAGAGTGGTCCAGAGGGCCTTGCGATTCCCCTTGGAGTAAACAAAGATTGCACAGTAAACCGGGTTTAGTGGATTACTCCTGTGGGCTGAAATCTGCAGCCTTTTTGCCTTCTGGTTAATCATATTAAGGTCAGAGAGCAGAGAGAATGGCACTCCAGAGTAAAATGTTTCTGGATTGCAGCCATCATGTCAAATTTATTTTGAAAATCTATTCCAGTGTATAAGCAGAGCCGTTTACATTGCCGTAGTGTCTGTCTACAACATGAAAAGTAAATGTGCCTATTAATCTCATTGCTTATGGTGATGTTCAGTTCAAAATGTGTGTTTGTAAATTCATTAAGTACAAGATTATTTGTTGGGCTTATCCCTATTAGGAAAGCATTACGGACATGATTATTTGAAAGCTTTCTATTGCCGTTATATACTCGTCTTGGCATCTTGAATTCTCTGTAACTGGTGGACTTCATTACATTTCCTGGGATTGATCATTGATTAGGGGATTTTGAAGTCGTGCAGTTAAACTGTTCTCTGAAGCCCAGTCCACAACGACAACGCTGAATCCATAATGTTTTTTTGTCGGCTTCTGTATATAGATATTTCTGTCAAAACTGACGATATTGTGCCTGTGTTTTCTCACAGTTGCGAGAGGCAATCAAGGCTGGCAAAGGTGTGACTTCAGCTATTGACCTATGCCGTTTCCATGGGAACAGAGCGCTGGAGGCTCTGGAGTGCTTCCCTCCCTCCGAGGCCAGATCTGCTTTGGAAAACATCGTTTATGCCGTGACAAGGTGGTCATGATGTACCACCGGAAAAAAGAAAAAGAGGCTGTTCTTCATTTTGCAGAAATGAGTGGAACGCGTAATAGTTCTGCAAGAGCCATTGCTAGGCATCCAAATGTGTCAGTGGTGAGCTTTTCTCTCTCTCCTTCTCTCTTCCTTTAAGTGTTTCTGTTCCACTCACCACATTCCCGAATGAACATCCATCCTTCGGAACTGCTACAAACAAAATTAGGGAAAAAAAGGTCAAACAGTTTTCACTTGTCATGCCAGAAGCACACTTGAGGCTGCACCGGTAGAAATAATTAATGAGACTCACTTCTGTGACCTCAGCAAATGGACAGGAAATAAGTCCTTATTGATTGGACATAGCCAGGGATGGCGCCAGTGTGGTGGCCTGTGGTTTTCCTGCGCTGGAGAAGGCAGAGGGGGGCCTGAAGCGGCAGGTGTCGGGAGGGAGGCTTTCCAAACCGACCAGAGAGAGAGATAGATGCCTGTTTGAAACCAAAATTAATGTGCCAGTTTATCAACATGAAGGGCAGCTCGATAATTTAGGCAGGGAAAGGAGGGGGTCTTCTTTTTTATCTTAGCGATACGCAGCTCTGTCTCCTCAGACTGTTTCTCTATGTATTTAAACATAAAATTACCCCGCGGTTCATGTGCTGCTTGTTTGAAATGGTATGGTAAGAACTCTGCAATATTAATTTTGATTCTGTATAAAAGAACAATTTTGAATGTCGAGTTTGTCAAGTCTTCAGTTTGGCTCCAAAGAATGGAATTTTAAACTTCCAAGCAAGTGAAATAGTTGCCTTTTATATATCATGTCATTTCTTTTCAACAGAAGCAGGCGCTACAGTTTTACTACATTTACAAAACAATGGTTTTGTGCACACAAAATAAATGCGTCTTCGTAAGGCTGTGTGAATTGTCTGAAACAAAGAATGAAGTTCTCCCCGCCGCCGCCTCCTTCGGTGCAAGATTTCATCCTGAAGAGATGTATATTACATGAGAAGTTTTTTAACCTTACTGCGTCGAATGTTAAAAGTCCAATTATAGGGAGAATACAAGGTATATCAGAAACCTGCAATCTGACACTGTCTCTATTTTGTTCATAGGAGATGATTTTTGTGGTTTGCATGCTTGCAATCTGAGAACGTCGTTGACAAGAAGGCTGAGTTTACATAAATGATCCAGATTGAGACTCAGCTACCTTTCTTCCTTCTGTGGTGTAATTACAGCCCAATCTGGAGACAGCTAGCACAGCAAACAGATTTCATTACATTGCTCTCTCAAACACTAAGTGGAGTTATTTCAGTTAACTTTCTTCTTCTTCTTCTTCTTCTTCTTCTTCTTCTTCTTCTTCTTCTTCTTCTTCTTCTTCTTCTTCCCACTTTCTTACACGCATGCCCACATACTCACAGACCTTCTATATAATGAACCACTATGTGATTTTCAACTTTTTTTAAGCCTCACATTTAATTATAATCGTAACAGAAAGAGGAACTGAAGCATCTTGATAACCTTAGTTAGGGCTAAATTTTTAATGGGGCTTGTCCCCGTATAAGCCGCCCTGAGTCCCTTTGAGGAGATGGTGGCGGGATACAAAAATAAAGTTATTATTATAATATAGTAATGCATTGCTTTAAATCAGGACAGTACATAAAAAGAAACACTAAAAAAGCAGGGGAATTCCAGACAAGAATCAGTCAGTGCCAGCTAACACCTCTCAACAAAGGATTCCCCCAGGCAGCAATGAACCAGGCCTTGAAACTGCAAGGCCATTAAATTCCAATCAAGGTAGCCAATTGCAACATTCCCACTTGCCTCAAGGAGACAAAGAGTTCTTTCTCCCACCCTGCCCATTCCACAGATATATAAACCTCACTTGCTTAGTTTCCAGCAGAATCCTCAACCTCTGAGGACGCCTGCCACAGATGTGGGTGAAACGTCAGGAGAAAATGCTTCTGGAATATGGCCATATAGCACAAAAAACGCATAGCAACCTATTGATTCCGGCCATGAAAGCCTTCAATAACACAATGCATTGCTTGTTGCCAAAAACATTAGACTGGATGAAAATAGAGATCAGACTAGTTAAATCCTCTTAACTACTGGAGAAAAATCCAGCCCAAAAGGAGGACATCAAAAATTATGTAAGGAAACTGTTCTCAGTTTCAAAGTGTATTTTTAGCATCTTGAATAGTCTTTTAAAAGTATGGATGACACAATAATACAATTCACAAAATGACAATTTCCTATTTTCTTTCCCTTTACCAAGTACTAGTACTCTGTAATAAAGATGAGAAATTTTAAAAAAGAAGAGAGAAAGGATGAAGAGAGGAAGGATGACAGAGAGAGTTATAATATTGCTTGAGGTAGATAGGGAAAGCTGCGATCGGTCACCAAAGAAATCCAAGAGGTTATTCCAGGAAGAATGTTCTCTATGTTTTTCTCTGACACACACTTTTAGCAAAGACGGCACTCTGTTTAACTGCTTAGTCCTACAAATCTTTCATCCACTGCTTGATCTCCGGACAACTTGTGGGCTATCAGCATTGTAATAGCCACCAACAGCCCTCGGGAATCATATTCTGTGTCCAGTGGATATGCCCCACCTCTGAAGAGAGCACCTTAGAGAACATTTTAAGACCTAGAGCTATATGTCATACTAGGAGTGCTATTTATTCTGACATCTTTTCCAAAAATAAGTCAAGTTACTGCACCACTCCAGAAAATATGAACTAGTTCTACTCTCAACTGTTACATCAACATTTATTATCTGATAGTGAAAAATGAATGAGGATTTTATTCCTGCAGACTCTGAAATTCTGCTGAATCTAAAGAATAAATCTGAAGTATAGAAGCTTTTATGACAGTTCATCCTCTCATTCTGAGTCTGAACACGTTGGGAAATGTGGCACAGAGAACTCCTACTTAGATAAGCAGAATGCAAAGTGATCTTGTGGTACTTTGGAATCAGAACAAAGTTGGTTGCATAAACTTTTGTAGATGAAGTGTACTTTCTCAGGTGCCTCTGGAAGTGGATTTAGTCTAGGAATGTTTCTGCTACCAACTTCTTTCTCTCAGTCTCTAAGATGCTATGAGGTCCCTCTGAATACTTCTATTCCAGGTTAGCACAGCCCTGCCTGAATTTTATAAACAGAGTTGGATTATAGAAGAGATCGATATGTCTTTGAATTTCATAGTAGAGGTGTTTGCCATTCATGATGTTATAATAATAATAACTTTATTTTTGTATCCCACCAGCAACTCCCCAAAGGGACTCGGGGCGGCTTACATGGGGACAAATCCCAGGCAAACGGAGATTAAAATATAACACGGTAAAATTACAGATACAAACATAAAGCATAAACCATCAACAACAACCAGCAGCCGAGCATAGTGGCCATATACTAACTGAGGGGTGAGGAAGGGGTTTGTGCAATACAGCTGCAAGAACAGGATTGATATAAAAGTGCCGGAGCTGGATGATGATAAGTTTGGGCAAGAAGGGCCAAGTAAATTAGTGCAGTACAACTACAGGGACAATAGTGAAGTGAAAGAGCCAGATATTAAGTTATGGCTATAAGGGCCAGCATTAACTAATGAACCGAATTACTGGTACTGTATAACTATCATAGACACTAGTATTTCAGATGCTTTAACATATTTTCAACAAATTATGGCATGTCCTAACAAAACAATATTTGCATCCAACAGTAAGAAGAGTAGCGATCAAGATGTCTGGAGTCTATGAAATAACACGTATTCATGTGCTAGTGTGTTGCTAATTGCATAAACCTGTTTGAATGGAGAATAAAAAGGTCATACTCTGACATGGATGTACAATGTTAAGTTTCAGATATATTCAGTAAAAACATTACCATTTAAGCAACATGAGCATGAAGATGAAAATATTCACATGTTTGAATATATCAAACATTTTAAAACAAACAATTCAGATTATAACAATGGAACATGAAAACTACATTTTAGAACATGGCCATATAGCCCGAAAAACCTACAACAACCCAGTGATTCCGGCCATGAAAGCTTCAACAATACATTTTAAGTATCTAAACAAAATCAGTTGTGTTTAAAAGAGTTTGAACATGATTGTCCTGCTTCTTGGCAGGAAGTTGGACTGGATGCCCATGAGATCTCTACCATCTCTATAATTCTACGAGATCTATCCTGTGACAAAATCATATCTAATTATAAACTGAAGATTACAAAGGAGGTTCCATATGCACATACTGTATAAATGATAATTTCTTAAATTGTTCTTAATTTCTAACTTAGCATTTCTTCAAAGGGTATTAAGTTAGAAAACAAAGAACCTTGAGGGTTGCTCAATAAAAAAAAGTCAGACTCGATCAGCTAGAAACAAGCTCTGGGGAAGTCTCATTGAAATACAGTAGACTGTTAACTGGCACCCATGGGGATAGGTAGATGCCAGATAAATGTAGCTTCTGGTTGCTTGAGAGTTACTATTAATAAAAAAATAGGCCTAATACTATACCCCATACTATGCCGTATCATAAATTCTGTATTGATTTGATATTAATATTGAGACATAGTACTTAAAAACAAATTAAGATAAATACAAACTTAATGTAACATAATTTTGCTATATTATAAAAACAGCTTTGTGAATACAATATTTTTCTTAGATTTGTTGCCAGTTGCTTGAGACTTCTAGTTGCTTGAGTTCTGGTTAACTGAGAGTCTACTGTAATTGAAAGCTTTCAGGTTTTGCCTCAGAGAATGGGTTTGTTTCCTGGTGAGGGCACTGGAATCTTAGAGATAAATCACAACCTAATTTCCCCCCCCCCCTAAACTTAACAATAATCTGTTTCAGCAAGCTACACCCTATCAGGAAACTTTCATTTGCGTCTGTCAGGTTGCTGAGTGACTTTATATAAACCACTCAATCTCCTGGTTTATATTTTCAGTCTCTTATAGTGATATAAGCTATCACTAGTGTTCAATGAGATTGTGAAACCTGATTTATTGTGTAACACCTGAAATTGTCAGCTGCAGATAATGCAGTTATTTGCTGCTAGTATGTGTACTGTGCATTTTTGTCTACCACAAGAATTCCCTTGTCTCTAACGTAAGTATGTTTTGGTAGGTGATAATAACTGTTGCAAAACTTCAGATGCTATTCATAGTTCCATTTGCACCTAATGCTCTTCTTGATTTTTATCTTCACTTGTAAGAATAACTTTGTTGTTTTTTCACACTTGTATATTGGAGTGTTTTTCCCCATTAAGAATAAGGCAGCATACTTTGACAGTCCTACACTTTTATCTTCATAAAACTCAAAGAGAGTGACTTCCCAAAGGACATCCAGTGGGTTTCATGTTTCAATGCTAGGCTTAAAGCTGAATTTCTCGAATCTAGTTCAATCTTCTAACCCAGGCAAGGACAAACTTTGGCCTCCAGGTGTTTTGGGCTTCAACTCTGGTAGGCTGTTAGGAATTGTGGGAGTTGAAGTCCAAAACACATGGAGGGCCGAAGTTTGCCCATGCCTGTTCTAACCACTATGCTATAGTCAATCCCAGAAATTAACATACTTTCTAAATAGTATTCAATATGTAGAGTACCATAAATTCATGTCTTTTTAAAATTCTCACAGACTGCCTGTATAGAAGTACTTTAGCAATGTTGATAAGAGTTTGTGACATCCAAAAATCTATACACATATATCTGAATTAACAAAATTTCCCTGGGCTTTACATCATTTACATCAGCAAATCAACACCGGCTCCTACAAAAAGCAGGCCTTCCCCATGATCTCCAAAAGGCCAGAGCATTTGTGAATGAACCTATGACGAAATCAACAGCAATCATTTCCTCCCCTTCCCCACGTGGAAAAGTATATATATACATATACATACACACACACACACACACACATACAAACACACACACACACCTATTGGTAACAGACATAGAAATAACATGAAAGGAACAGGGATAGGACCCTACACCAAAGAAAAGAAGAGCAGTTCAACACGTTTCAACAAAACAAATATTCAAAACTAACATTATGCAAACATGAAATGAAACAACCAGGTCAGT